CTTAGGTGGGCCTGGCGTTAGTCTGGCCTCAACCAGCTAGGTGTCCCCATCCATCCCAGTGAGGCTGCTGAAACCAGGAGCCCCTCGTGGCTCTTGCACAGGTAGGCAGATGCCCTGTCTTCAAGGTTGATGCCTATGGCAGACACCAAGTGACCTTCCATTTGTGCTAGCCCCACCCTCAGGGTAGGTGGGAGCCTTAGCAAAGAGGCCTGCACTGGGCACGGCTCTCTTCCTGGGTCCAGCACTTATCCCAATATTCCACCCAGACTCCAGAACATCTTCCTAGAATGAGAACCTAATCATGCTTCTCCCCTGCTTATAACCCCCCCCCCCCCCCCCCCCCCCCCCCCCCCCCATTGCTAGCCAGCCAGCACCCGGATTCCTAGGCCTGCCCTCCCCTGGCCGGCCATCCACCCCAGGCCCCAGGGCGTCCATACCAGCTGGCCCTTTTCTTGCTGTGCCTTGGTTCAGTTGTCCCCCATTCTAGGCTAGGGAGCCTCCCTCCTCCCTCCTGGTCTATACCTTGCTCCTCTGGGATCTCACAGCACTGGGGCTGGGAACAGAGCCCTACATCCCATGGTTATTTGTTTTTCCTTTGTCAGCTGGACCCTAAGCCTGGGACCTCCTTGAGGGCAGGGGCTATATATGATTCATCTCAGTGTCCCTAGCACCCAGCCCTGAGCGTGGCGCCTAGAAAGTGTGTGGCTAATGTTGGGGTAGGAGAGAAGTGGGGGGAGGGAGGAGGGAGGAAGTGGGACTGGGGGAGAAGAGGAAGGAAGGGGGAGAGAGTGGGTCCATCTCCTTCCTTTCTTCCTTTTGAGATTCTCAGCTCAGTCTAAGGCCTCGCTCAGCCATGGTGATGCAGCTAGGTGGGGCTAAGCCAGGGAGAGGAGGCAGAGAGGAGGAGGAGAAAGAGAAGGAAAAGGGAAGAGGAAGCTGCTGAACCAGCAGCACCTCCATGCAGAGGCTTAAGGGCTATTTGTGTGCTACCTACTAAGCCCCTAATCCTCCACGGCCAAGTCAGAGCCCTGCACCTGGGCTCCCAGGGGGCCGGGCTCAGGGAAGCTTGGAGATAGGTGCTGCCATCTTCAGAGACAACTAACCCCAGCCCTCCACTCCCATAGCTCTTCCCTAAGCCTGACTGAGGGGCCAGTGGCTCAGAAAGCCACCCACACTGGGGCTTGTCCCTTGGCATGCTCCCAGGCCCCTTCTGGACCAGCTGGCATAGAAGAAAGCTCAGGCTGGGGAGTTAGACAGCCAGTTCACCTCCGGCTCTGCTGAGGAATATTAACCCTCTGAGCCCATTTCCTCAGTGGTCAAAGGTTAGGGAGTGAGACCTCCTCATGGGGGGCCAGGAGTTGTTCATCCACTCGACAAATATTTATTGAGTCCTTGCTCCAAGCTGCCAGCTCAGATGCAGCAAAGTCCAGGCCAGCCCAGCCCTGCACTCTGGAGAGAGATGGGCAATGAATCAGTAAGGAGACAAGTAAGACCACTGCTGACAGTCATAGGTACTGAGTAGAGATGAATGTGATGTGGGAGGCAGAGGGGGAGGCCTGTTGTGTAGAGTCAGGGGCCTCTCCAAGGAATGCTTTGTAAGCGGAGACCTGAATGAGACTCTAAGAGGCTAATACTGTCAGCAACAGTCATTGATCACTTACAGGCAACAGAGTAGGAAACTGAGGCACAGGGAAGGGAGGGGGCGGGGCTGTGCCCAGGCTACATGGCCTTAGAGCCTCAGACCAGATGTAAGGGTAGGTGTAAAGGGGCTGTACCCAGCTAAGGGATACCATGGCTCCTCAATGATAAGGTGTGAAGATCTGTGACTGGACCCTGGTGGGAAAGCAGGTCACATCAAACCTGCAGATGGGTGTGGATCCCCCAAGGTTTCCTAGCTTCAGCAAACTGAGGCTGGAGAGGGGAAGTGGGACTTCTCAGGGTGACTCAGGGCCCCAGGCGAGAGTCCAGTGCCACCCCCTGCCTTCAGAGCCACCACTGCTGCCCCAGGCCTGTGTGACTCAGTCTTGTGGCTTTCCCACCAGCCCAGCACAACCCCTTTTTTTCTTTTTTTTTTTTTCTTTTTTGGTCATTTATACCATGATGTAAACAACTAGCAGAACTTTCCTGAGAGCTATCTTTCGTGTAGGGATGGAGACATGGCCAGGAAGGTGATAGCCAAAGTTTGTTATGTGATCTGGGTCACTGACTCACTGACCACCCTGGACCTCAGTCTCCCCACCTGTGAAATGTAGCAGGGAGGGTCGGTGACTTCTGTTGACCTTTTTGCTCACTATGAGCCTGTTGCTCTGAACAAAGAGCGTTTTTTTGTTGTTGTTTAAAAAAAGGATTCTTTGTCATGCCTCACAGAATATAATGCAATGTCACAGTGGTGATGCCTTTAATTCCTCCCTGGCCATAGCCCTGTGACAAGGGTCATTAAACTCTGAGACTTAGAGAGGGAAGCACTGATTGAAATAACCTAGATCTATCTATTCACTCGATCCACAAATGCTGAGCACCTACTATGTGCCAGGCCCTGAGGATACATCAGTGAACAAAACAGACAGAAATCCCAGCTCCTTCCAGTGTATGGGAAGTGATTTACATTTTGCAACGTCCTGAGAACCATGCTCAGCTCTGGGAACCCTGCTGAGAGCTGGGCAGACCACACACCCCCACCCCCCACCCCTGCCTGCTCACATGACAGCCTGTGAGTTGGACAAAAAACATGTGAACAGAGCATAAATTAAAAGCTTCCAAGCTGTCACAGCGTTAGGAGGAGGTGAAGGCAAGGTGCTGAGGTCTATGGTTGAGGGCTCACCCCAGCCAGCTCTGGGCTGTGTGGGGGTCAGTCTTGACCCAGGGAGTCCGGTGCTCCTCCCTCCGTCTGGCTACCAGGGCCACGTCGGAATCAAACCCTCCACCTTGACCTCATTAACATTGGGCCTAATCACTGAACCAAGCACCTTAAACTGCGAAAGGTCACACCCCAGCAGCCCTGCCACGCCTTCCCTTGAGCTCATTCCACCAGTACACACTTCTGCAGCCCTCCATGTGCAAGCCCTGACCACCCGCAACAGGCAGGGCTCTGAAATCTCAGGCGGGCTGAAGGGAGGGGGAGGGCTTTTCTGAGGAAACAGGTCTGGGAGTGTCGGGGGGAAGAGACTGCACTGAAGATAGTATAAGGGCTGGAAGTCTCAGAGATGGGGACACTTCCCTGGCCGACTCCTTCCATCGATCACGAAGTTCATGGTTCAGACTTCACCTTTCTGGACTGCTCCGAATGACAGTGTGTTGGGAGCGGGTCACGATCTGAACTTGTCCTATTTCATTTGTTTCAGTACTTATTTGTGAGCCCTGCCAGCCCCACACAATGGTACTTCCTGTGGGCATCGTCCTTCTCTACCATGTTCATCAGAACTGAGCACTGTGTGTGGAGCACAGTAGGTGCTCCATACACGTTTGTGGTTGGAGGCTGGTCATCAAGCACCGGTGTGCTGGGCACTGCCATGTGCCCCACTTCATTTCTCGGGGGGCATCACTGTGCCCCTTTCACTGATGGGGGGAGCCTGTCAGTGCAGAGCCATTCGCCCCCAGAACCTGCTTTTGTGGAGTGACCTGCCACACAGCTTCCAAGGCCCACTGTCCCAGCCCAGCCAACACAGACGTCCCCAGATGTGCCCTGTGTGTTGCAGTGTCCAACCAGTTCTTTTTCTAGGCTCAGCCTCACCTTCACACTGGACCCAAGCCTGCCTTGCTCACGGCAGTGATCTGGTGCCTAGCATGTCATCTGGCACACAGCTGCCTCCTGGATGCAAGGCCTTGCTTCAGGAGCCTTAGAGCCTCTGTCCCCTTTCTGCTCCAATCACCCCCTGCCTGGTCCCCTCCTCTATCCTCACTCCCTCCAATACATCTTTGGGGCATTTGAGCCACATTGCTGCCCCTTATGATCTGCCCAAGCCACTGCCCAATGCTATTTGGATAAAACCAGGTTTCTCAGTTTGGTATCAAGACCCACCAGAGCTGGCTTCATAGCCCATGTGCGGCCTCACCCCCGACAGGCCTCAGGCCTCTGTCAGCCCTTGTCTTTAGTCTCCCCTGTCTTCCCCGCTTGGCAACCTAACAAAATACTCCCGTCCCTCAAAGACCCAAACTTCACCTCCTCGGACACCTCACCGTTATGAGCAGTCTCTCCTCCCTTGGCCTAATGGAAACCCCTCCCTGGACCTGGATCTGTTCAGGGTCTTCCTTAGCGCATAACCTCCTCCTTTCTGGATTTTTGTATCCCCAGTGGCCTGCACATGAATGTTTAATGAACGAGTGAGTGAGTGAATTCCAGTTCAAATACTTATTGAGCTCCGGGTCTATGCCAGGCTGTGGTCTGGCATGGAAAGTGCCAAAGATGGCAGGACGTGGCCCCTGCCCTCATGGAGCTCATGACTTGGTGAGATGGACTAGTATTAGGGACTGAGCCAGGAGGTGACAGGTGGGGAAGAAATAGGTAAGAGGCTGAGAGACTGAGAGGAGAACCAGAGAGCTCATGGTCCAGTGGGGAGGAAGACAAAGTCCTCTGGCATGAAATGAGGGGGACGTGGGCGTGGAGCCAGAGGTCCCAATGCCAGGCCAAGGCCAACAGACTGAGATGGGCAGAGATTCCTGGGGACTAGAAGAGTTGGGGTTGGGCCTCCTGCCCTTTCCCAGGGTCCCCAGTACCTCCCTTCTCTGGCCCCAGGCTTCTGCCTAGAGTCACCTTGGCCCCTCTTGGAAGCCAATTAGGCCCCCAGTTGCAGTAGTGGGGGATTAGTATGATTAATAATGCCCCCAATCTTCCAGGTGCTGATTCAGCCAGGAGCTTAGGGAGGGGAGGTCACTTTATAAGGGCCTGGGGGGGGTGCTTAGAGCCCAGAGTCGTCCAGCCAGAGCCCTGGGTGGCCAAGCTCAGGCCTCAGCAGCACTCTTGGGTCTGAGCCGCCCCCGGGGCAGCCACCAGGACCACAGCCATGAATGGGACCGAGGGCCCAAACTTCTACGTGCCCTTCTCCAACAAAACGGGTGTGGTACGCAGCCCCTTCGAGTACCCACAGTACTACCTGGCTGAGCCATGGCAGTTCTCCATGCTGGCCGCCTACATGTTCCTGCTCATCGTGCTTGGCTTCCCCATCAACTTCCTCACGCTCTACGTCACGGTCCAGCACAAGAAGCTGCGCACGCCTCTCAACTACATCCTGCTCAACCTGGCCGTGGCCAACCTCTTCATGGTCTTCGGTGGCTTCACCACCACCCTCTACACCTCTCTGCATGGATACTTTGTCTTTGGGCCCACAGGATGCAATTTGGAGGGCTTCTTTGCCACACTGGGCGGTAAGAACTGGTGTATGGGTGGCTGGCTGGGGGAGTCAGGAGTCAGCGGTGGGGAGGGTGTGGAGGGATCTGGAGAGAACTCCATATTTGGGGATGGTGGTTAAGAGGCCTTCTCCCCTCTACATTCATCAGCGCTCTCCACTTAATCAACAAACACTGTCAGTAATGATAAGCTAGGCTGCCGTTTATTGAGGGCAGGCATTGGACACTGTTTATCTCACATAGAATGGTGCCATTGTCTTGCTTTGCATCAGGGAAACTGAGGATGAAAGAGTCAAGGGCCTTGCTGGGGCCACATTGTGGGAGGATAGAGCTGAGTTTCCAGCCCACATTTCTTTTTTTCTTTAAAAAAAAATTTGTTTTAACATTTATTGTCAAGAGACAGAGCACGAGCGGGGGAGGGGCAGAGAGAGAGGGAGACAGAATCCGAAGCAGGCTCTAGGCTCTGAGCTGCCAGCACAGAGCCTGAAGCCGGTCTCGAACTCATGAACCGCGAGATCATGACCTGAGCCAAAGTCGGACACTTAACCGACTGAGCCACCCAGGCGCCCCTAACATTTATTCATTTTTGAGAGAGAGAGGGAGACAGAGCATGAGCCGGGGGGGGGGGGCGGGCGGAGGGGCATGCAGAGAGAGGGAGACACAGAATCCGAAGCAGGCTCCAGGCTCTGAGCTGTCGGCACAGAGCCTGACGCAGGGCTTGGACCCATAAACCATGAGATCATGACCTGAGCCCACATTTCTGTGGCTCCTCAGGCCATGTTCTATTTCCCTCGGAGAAGCTGTGCCTTGTCAGACCCATGTTGGGCAGTGGGAATAGAGCCGGACAAGACAGATCTCTGTGCTCAGGGCTTTCAGATCGGGGTGGCACACAGATCATTAGTCCTCCAGCCACTGGACTTTGCCTGTGCTAAACAATGGGCTCAGTCTCTCCCCACCGGTGTCTATCCCATCTTGCAGAGAAGTGTCCGCCTGTGTGTGGCAGCCCTATATCACTCCTACCTCGTGGCCTGAGACTGGGTGATCTGTGACCATTGAAGGTGACAGACGCCTAGCGGTGGCCGGAGATTCCCCAGGCATGGGGCTGAGACAGTGTCCTGGACATGTGAAAGAGGGAGAAGACAAGGAGGCAGAACAGTCCTTGTGGCTGGTGCTGGGCTCTCCCAGCCACCCTGGCTCTCTCCTGCTTGCCTGAGAGGCCATGTGTCCTCAGAGAAGGGAGGCACTTCTGGATCTGAGCCAGGAGACCTAGGCCCTTGTCACTGCCCTGCCACATCCCTGAATGTGCCTCTTCTCTCCTCCGTGCCTCGCTCTTCTCATCTACTAAACGGGATCTGTTATCTCTGTAGCAACCCCATCAGTTTTCTAGTCAAAGGAACTATTTGATCGCACTTTTCAAAGCTACAGATCTCCACACAGGTCTAGTGCCTCCCCTATGGAAGGGGTTTCTTGGAAGGGGATAAGCCCCACACACACAATAAGGCTGGAGGTGGGTTGAGGAGTCTCAGGCTAGAAGGCAGGGGTGAGATGGAGGCCACATGCAGGTAGGCACTTCTCTGCCGGGCTGGCGTCAGTTTACAATTATTTTCCTGGAGTAATACTTAGTAGTGTTGTTTTTCTCTCTTAGAAATGTCCCGGTTTGGTTGACAAATTCTATGGCTACCCTCCTGAGTGAGTTTCTGGGGTGATGTGTAGGGCAGTTGTCTGAATTCCACCATTCTTTCCTGCTTCTTCTTCTGGGCAAAACATTGCCCAGCTTTCTGGCTCCCAGGTGGGGACCCACAGGCCCAGGTTATTTCATTCCCCACAGGGGAGAGGCTGCTGCACAAGAGGGAGAGCAGGAATTCTAGCTCCAGCAGGCACTCTGCCTGTTGCCCCATGAAGTGCACATTCTTCTGCAAAAACTCCCTACAGGACTCCTAGTCTAATCATGACCCTGGAATCTGATTTCCTGTCCTTCATGAACCCAGAGCTCTGACTGAACTAACTCCTCTTCCTGGGAGGTACCCGGTTCACTCTCTTCTCAGCATAATGCCCTTCTGCCTCACAGCCCCTTGGCTCCTCTTCTCAGAATCGAAGCCCTCTCTTTCCCAAGTCCTGGCTCCAACTGTGCCTTAGGTGGCCTTCCTGCCTGCCCTCTCCCATCCAGGAGGAGCGCTTCCTCCTTGGATAGGGGGGTCCAGGCAGGTGATGTGTTGACTGATTGCTGACTGCCTTGCAGGTGAAATTGCCCTGTGGTCTTTGGTGGTCCTGGCCATTGAGCGGTACGTGGTGGTGTGTAAGCCCATGAGCAACTTCCGCTTTGGGGAGAACCATGCCATAATGGGCGTCGCCTTCACCTGGGTCATGGCACTGGCCTGCGCTGCACCCCCCCTCGTTGGTTGGTCCAGGTAATGGCACTAAGCAGAAGGGAAGGGTCCCTGGGGTGGGGGTTCTTTACAGGGTCCCCAGCCAGGACTCAAGCCTGGGGCTGTCTCGTTCTGGGCACCGAGCTTATATGTCCCCCTCCCCGAACACCCACCCTGGCAGCTCTCCCAGGGTTGGGGTTTAGGGTAGGGGAAGAGAGAATCAGACCCTAATGTTGCTCCAGGGGCTAGTGCCACCTCCTGGGTCCCATGTCAAGGAGAATCTAAGACGCCCAACCCTTAACCTTGGCTGTGCCCCTAATCCTCAACTAAGCCAGGACCAGATTCCAATCCTCTTTGCCCCATAGGCAGCTCCCTCTGACCTTGGGCCTCAGCACCTGGGGAGGCCAAGCCTACCTAGTGCAGGTGGGTGACACTGTAGCCCTTGGGAACTGTGTCCTGTCCAGCCTCTAGTCCATCATCTGCAAATGGGGCTCAGATGAGAGATGGGAGGACAGTGGTTTGGGAAACTGGACGGGTGACCCTGTGGGTTCCTGGAGGCCTCGTGTCCCTCTGCTTCTAGGAAATTCCCAATCTTTCTTCCCTTCCCTCCTCTCTCAGCTTCCTGGGGTCAATTTTCTTTTTTATTTTATTTATTTATTTTTTTGTCCTTTGTTGAATCTGAGCCCATCGCCTCCAGCCTCTTTCCCTGTTTTCTCCAGTCCTGCCCAGTCCCATCCCCACAGGCACAGCCAATAGACACTCCATTGTCACCATCCTCTGAAATCACAGAAACATCCTAACCGTCTGTCCCTGGGACCTCTTGTTTCTCGAAACTGTGCAAAGATCCCTTAGTTACTCTGTGTGCCCATCTTTGGCCTAGAAAATACTCTTACCCTGTTAGTAAGACCCTAGTTTGTACAAACTGCCTCAAATACAGAGCTCGGGGGCTTTTCCTGTCTCCCCACCAACCTCTGCCTTGCACAGCCTGAGCCTCCAGCCACTAGAAGCAGCCAGTGTGGTGAGGAAACACAGCGCAGGTCCGCGGTGTCCGGGCTCTGCTAGGCAAGAGACTGGGCCGTCTCATGATAGCATGGCTGTTTTCACAAGGGCATTTGAATCCCTCATCTCCGTTGATTTGATCCTCACAGTCATGCAGCCATGCAGATATTTTATTATGCCTCTTTTAAAGAGAGGGAAAGTGGGGCCCAGAGCAAGCCCAGCCACACAGCAGGTGTGTTGGGGGTCTGTTCCTCAAGTCCCTCACATGTGGGTCTCCCCGTGCCCTCTCTTGCCCCGTCCCCCTCTGGTGGTCAGGTACATCCCTGAAGGCATGCAGTGTTCATGCGGGATCGACTACTACACACTCAAGCCAGAGGTCAACAACGAGTCCTTTGTCATCTACATGTTCGTGGTCCACTTCACCATCCCCATGATCGTCATCTTCTTTTGCTACGGGCAGCTTGTCTTCACAGTCAAGGAGGTATGGACCTGTGTTGGGTGCTGGGGACACATACATTGGTTGGGTTGAGACTGGCCTCTGTCCCAAAGGAGCCACAGTCTGGACAGCAGACCCTGTGTCCTTACAGGCGGCAGCCCAGCAGCAGGAGTCAGCCACCACCCAGAAGGCTGAGAAGGAGGTCACTCGCATGGTCATCATCATGGTCATTGCTTTCCTGATCTGTTGGGTGCCCTACGCCAGCGTGGCATTCTACATCTTCACCCACCAGGGCTCCAACTTTGGCCCCATCTTCATGACACTCCCGGCGTTCTTCGCCAAGTCCTCCTCCATCTACAACCCTGTCATCTACATCATGATGAACAAGCAGGTGCCTGCTGGCGGGGCGGAAGGGTCCAGAGGCCCCAGGCTGCAGGCATTGCCTGCGGAGGACAAGCCATGTCCTTGACTGGGCCTCAGTCATTTCAGCTGCAAAACTAGGCAGGGAAACTGGTATCCCCCAGAGCATCAGAGTCATCTAGGAGAAATGCAGATTCCTGCTGAATCAGAAGCTCAGGGTGAGCCCAGGAACCTGCATTTCTAACAAGCCCACCAGGTGACTCTCACACTGGCTCAAGTATGAGAAGTGCCAGTCCAGATGGTTCTGGAGGCCCACTTTAAAAGTCAAATGGTCTAAGTCCCAAGCCTGGGAATGGGATGGTGCCAGTCTCCACAAAGCTGAACAAGGAGCTAAAGTCTTATTCCGAGGGAGGAAGGGATAAAGCAGTTCTTTAACACCAACCAGTGACTTCTCTGCAGAATCCATGAACCTGTGGGGGAAAACATGGTCTCTAGAGTTAGGCATATTGGTTTCAAATCCCAGTTCTTCTTTTTTAGCTGATTGACACTTGGGAAGTCACTTCCCTTCTCTGGGCTTCAGTGTCTGTGTTCCTAGAGAGGGCAAAATCCCAAACTTGAGGGCTATATAAGGTACTTACAGATAGCCTTTGGCACACAGAGGGCATCAGGGAATGTCATCAGTAGCAGAGCCCTCTTGGGTTTGGTCCCTGGCATCTCTGGGGTGGGGCCACATGCGCTTACTAAATTCCCTCCAGGAAGCCAGATTTGAGAGGGGAGTGGAGGCTGTGAGAGCCAGAAGCAGGGAAGGGGTTGGAGGTAAATCTTGCCAACCACTCCAGTTTGCTACACACACTTTCGGTGGACCCTGATTCTGACTCACGCTCTTTGCCTTCCAGTTCCGGAACTGCATGCTCACTACCCTCTGCTGTGGCAAGAACCCACTGGGTGATGACGAGGCCTCCACCACTGCCTCCAAGACGGAGACCAGCCAGGTGGCACCGGCCTAAGCCCTGCCAAGGACTCTATGGTCAACTGTAGGAGTCTCCCATTCCCTATGCCTACCCCCAGCCACAGCTGCCCCACCAGGAGCCAGGTCTGTTGGAACCAGGTTGCACAGACTCCTTGAGTTAAAAAAAAAAAAAAAAAAAAAAGAATAACGAGAGAAAAATGAGGCTCCCCACTCGACAAGTATGGCCCGATCTGGAGTCCTGAGTTCCCAGGGGCTGGTGGGATCTCTGCCCCTCCTCTCCCCAACTCATGTCTCAGGAACACAAGAACTCTTGCTCCCTGGAAAAGTGTCCCAGCTTAGGGATAAGTGTATAGCACAGAGTGGGGCACACAGTAGGTGCTTAATAAATGCTAGATGGATGAAGGAAGGAACGAATGGGGGAATGAATGAAGGAATGAATGGGCAGGGAGAGCATATCTACCCTCTCAAAACCACCTTAGCTGCAGCTCACCCTCGGCTGATGTCCTTGAACAGTTTCCCTCCCTGGGCCTCACTTTCTTCCCCCAGAAAATGGAAACCCCAGATCCTTGGTCCTGCCAACGCATGGCTGCTGTGAAGATCAAATGAGATTTTGATCTCATATATGTGTGTATATGTGTGTGTGTGAGTGTGTGTAAGCACTTTGTAAATGGTAAGGAGCTGTACAGATTGTAGTTAACATTATGAATAACACCAATTAATATAATTAACTAATATGATCATCTCTTCTTGATAGTGACCATTTTGAGACTGGGCAAGGCCCTGAGCATCAAGCCTCAGCAGGTTTTTTTTTAATTTACCAGATGTCAAGGCCAGACCAGGGCTGGTGGTCGGTCTGCAGAGAGGGACAGTCAAGGGAATGCAGAATACAGTCATCTGGACTGAAAAAACAACGCTAGGGGACTGCAGTCTGGGACCAAGGCCCAGGGTCTCACCTCTGACGTGAACTCCCAGGCCTGGTGCCTCCCCTTCCTCATGCAGCCTAGGGAGAGACAGGCCTTTCTCTCAGCTTCTGCAAACTACCTGCCCTCCTTCCCAGCCCCTAGGCCACAGCAACTCTAGGCCAGCATGGAGCTGGGCCTAGAAGCCATATGCTAGGCTAGACTCTAGGCCAGCATGGCCATATGCTAGGCCAGCAACTCTAGGCCAGCACGAGCTAGAAGCCATATTCACCTGCCCACATTTAATGAAGAGCTGAGTCCCCAGTGGAACCCTTTTCTCAAAGATCTCAGAAACAAAAAGTGGGAAATTCAGATGGGCCCATCTTCCCTGGGGATGTTCACAGATCCCAGAGTTGAGCACCCTTGCTGGGTAAGCCTGTTTTTAGTAGCTCCAGTCCATTCTCCATTCTGGAAAGTCCTTGCTGCAAAGCTGGTGGGAACTCTAGGGTATCAGAATTGTGCTGCTTGCATAACTGCCCCTCCTCCACGTAACCAAGACCAGAAGCTCTAACTCTTCCCAGCTCTGCCTGGAGACTAGGCAAATCGGGGCATTAAAAGCTCAGCTCCTATTCTTGGTGTTAAGGGTGGTGGTTTTTGTTGCTCTCAAGCTCTTTCTCTGTAGGATGGATTGAAATTGGGCAGTAATTTCCACCTGATCTCTAACCCTGGGATGCTGGGTTTGGGCAACCAGCAGGGCCCCCTGCGGGTGTGGGGTGGAGGGAGCAGGCCCGGGAATGAGAAAAGCCCCAACTTTGGAGTCACAGAAACCCAGGTGACCTTTGAAACTGCAAGCAAGTTTGGCCATCTCTCTGAGTCTCCTTATCAGCAAAAAGGAATCTGAACCTGAGCTTGAGGGGACCGCAAACTTCACGTGGCCAGCCTGCTTCCTGGTACACTGTAGCCAGTGGGAGACTTCTGACATTACTGGGCCTCAGCTCAGAGCTGGCCTTACCAAGAACACCATCTGCAAGGGGAACAAGGATGGAGACATAGTCTCAAGAGTTACCCTCAACCTCCAAGGTGGGAAAGGGTGGCTGGAGCCTGAGATGGAAGTTCCCCAGTGCCATGGTGGGGGCTGAAGCAGGTAATAGCTGGGATCTCTACTCTTGCCCCTCTAGGTGATATACTCTGCCTCCGTAGGTGGTGCCAGTCAGGGTTTCTTTGGCTGCAAGTGGCAGGAAATCTAACTCAACAGGGCTGAAACAGAAAGGAGAAATTGTTGGCTCCCCAAAACAAAAAAACCCAGGGCTTCAGGCACGGCTAGATGCAGGTGCTCAGATGTTATCAGACTTCTGTATCTCCCCTCTGGTTATAGTTTTCTCTGTTGGCTTTGGAAAGGGCTACCAGCAGTCCCAAGCTCAGCTAGCCTTGCAGAAAGTAAGCTGTTTTTCCTGACAGTTCCAGCAAAGGTCCTGGGTAGGGCTCTCACTGGCCAGGTCTGGGTCACCTGATCACTCCTAATCCTGTCACCAGGTTAAAATGGGGATTCATCCTCTGATAGGCCCGGCTTGAGTCACCTCATTGTCCCTAAACCTATCACCAGGCTGGGATGGGGATGTAGCCTCTCATTGGCCAGGGCTGGGTCACCTGATCACTCAGACCAAGGTAGGGTTAACCCTAGATAAACCAAATGGTCTGAGTGAGGGTGGGGACTGGAAGGAGCCCAAAAGATTCCTCGGGT